GGGAGTTCCCTTGTTCCTTACACTTTCTAAGGGTTAGTAAGGGTAGCCTTGTCTTTTCACCAAGAGTTAGTATTGTATCCTAACCTAGAAGACTTCTTCATTTCATTCCTTACAATTCCTAGAAAAATATCTCTACCTTCTCTCTAGAATAGAAGTGTAGCTTATTCTCCAAGCCAAGTTGAGACCCTTGTCAAGATTCTAAGTTTTGCTTCCAAGATTCAACCTTTCACCTATTTGGGCATCTAGGAAGGTAAGATCTAAGCTTGTTTAGTCTTTTTGGTTCCATCTTAGTTGTCTTTTTCTTAAAGATAGGATCTTTATGATCTTTTGGTTTGATCTTGAAGTGGGTTTGAGAAATGAGCCTAGTGGAGAGCTTGTTGTGGTGTAAAGAGAAGTCTTTTGGTCTTCAAGAGGTAACCCATGCTCTACAAAACCTATTTTGCTTACCTATATGTGATTTCTTGGATTCTACTTGTTCTTTGCTATGAAATGTGAGGTTTTATGCATTTATCTTGTGATACTGCATATCTAGAGCTTGTGTTTAGGGTTCCTTTGTGCCATTGCTTGGCATTTTCCTTGGTTCAAGTCATTTTGTTGTGTTTGGTGAGATTTGGCATGTTTTGGACTTGAATTTGTGTTTGGAGAAGAAAATCCCCGAAGGGATTTGTTGTGGAACAGGTATGTTCCCGCAGGCGGAACGGCAGGCGGGGCACCACCCGCCGACCTACCCGCGGGTACACAGCCTCGTGGGATATTGTTGCCGCGGGCGGGACCACGGGTGGGGCACTACCCGTGGGTCCACCCGCGGGTACATGGTTGTGGTGATGTTGGGATTTGTTCCCCGTGATTTGGTTGTCGTGGTGTTTGATCTTTTGGCTTCCCGTTGTTCTTTTGTGGAACTATTTGAGTGTCTTCTTGATGTTTCGTAGGTCTAGAACTATATGGTAGGTATCCATGTAGGACTTTGGTGTCTTGAATCGTGCTAAGCGTTCAACATTGTGTTTCGTTGGACCAAGAGGTGTCTTGTGTGTTCCTCGGAACTATCTTGAGTTTCCCCGTTGTTAAGCATGCTAGTTCGTCGTCTTAATACTAGCGTGTGTGTGGTTTGTACCTTCCGTTTGGTTGATGATAACTTGTGTTATTCATCGTTGTGGTTGTGGGTTGTGACCCGTTCCTTGATTGAGTGTGTTTCATACCTTCCTTGCAATCCGTTGATTGATTCGTGTGAGTGGTGGTGCGTGTGTAGCTCTACCTGGATTGCACGATTAGTGGTATGGGACACTAGTCACCAAGGTATTGCAGCGGTCCTCGTAGTGGCCGTGACATGATTATGGAGTTGTGGCCTGAGTGATGGGTCCACGTGATTGGGGGATAACATTGTGTTATCCGGGCATGTGTTGCCGTGATTGGTGGTGGTTCGTTGGTGGTTATAGGTGGGGGACGACGGTCCCGGCGGAATAAGGTTGGACTTGGCTGTACAGGGGATCCTGGAGGTAATGGTTGGAAAGAAGGTACAAGGTTGGGGGTAGCCATAAGGTTGGAACAGGGCATAAGGAAGGCATACCAACTCGCGATGGGTGATGTTGCGAGGGCTTGTAAAGTCGGCGTTGTGTGATCTTCTCTCGTGACGTGTGTAGTCACGGAGGCTTGTGTTGTTTTGGCATGTGTTGCCGTTGGGTGAATCTTTATCCTTATGTGTGGTTAACCTTTGTGGTTTGGGATGTGTTCCCGTGTGGTCGTGAGAGTGATGAGTCTTGTGTTGACTGTTGATCTTGGCTTTTGACTTATATATATGTATTCCGTTTCGAAAATGGTTTTTATATCTTATATCTACCTATTTATGATAATTAACGGTATTGGTGGGTTACCAGCATTATTCGCTGACCGGGCGTCGTCCCAATGTTTATCTTTGTATCTTTCAGGTGGTGTTTAGACGAGAGCGTTGTCTAGAGCCTGGTAGCTTAGCACCATTGTGTTTTTGTAGCCTGTGCGCCAACGTTTTTAGAATGCTTTAGATTGATGTATTGGGATAGTATTATACACTTGCAGATTGTTGCTTTAGCGTTACCTAGTGTGGTATACGTGGCATAACACCCCTTTTTGGATTTCTTTTATCCAGTTTCCGTTTATCTTCCGTTGTGCTAGTTTTGTTGTTAATCTGCTTGTGTTAGGGCTTCAATTGGGCCTTGTTTTTGGGGCGTGTTACACTATGACTGTAGGTACATATCCCCATGTGAAGCAGTTTGGCGTTTGTTTGGTTTTGATATACAGCTTAGGGCTCCTTCATTGGAAAGGTTAAGCTTTCACCTTCCTAATCAACAGAGTGTGGTATTTGCAGATGATGATCTTGTTGAGAACATTGTTAATAGACCCACTATAGCACAGAGCATATTCTTGGAATGGTTTGAGACGAATAAGACATTCCCAGATGCAAGAGAGCTTACTTATGTTGAGATACCAACAAGATTCATTTGGAAGAAAGACCTTAGAAAATGGCAGCCACGGAAAAAAGGGTTCTCAATCGGAAGGATATTCTATGTCTCGCCAGCTACTGGAGAAATCTTTTATTTGAGGTGTTTGTTGAATAAAATACGTGTCCCTACAAGTTATGCAGATATCAGGACTGTAAATGGTGTCTACTATGACTCATTTCGAGATGCGAGTTATGCAAGAGGTTTAGTTGATGATGATAACGAATATGTTGATGCAATAGATGAAGCGAGTAATTGGGTGTCAGCAGATCAATTGAGGAGATTATTTGTTACATTGCTAATGAGCAGTTGCATGGGTAAACCGGAAACAGTTTGGAATGCTGTGTAGCCACATTTGTCTGATGATGCACAATTCCAGGTCCGCAAAAAAATTGCACAATAGAGGTACACATACATTCTACAAATTATTTTTGTTATATTGCTAACACAATATAAAGTGAACTTTAACGTAGGCATCTTAATTAGTATATGTTATATAAACTTATGCAGATTTTGTGTTGACCGAATCTCACAAGATGAACTTTGCTTTAGTGGAGATTGAAAAGCTATTATCTATTCATGGTAAGAGTTTGAAGGACTATCCTGAAATGCCTAAGGCAAATTTTGCGGCCTTAAATGTTATATCGAACAGGTTTATACAAGAAGAATTAGCATATGACTGTGTGGAACAGGAGAAAGAGAACCAGGAATTGGTAAGGCAGTTAACCGAAGAGCAAAAGGTCATATACAATGAGGTGTTAACCGATATTGATCGCCAAGCTGGCGGGTTATTCTTCGTTTATGGTTATCGAGGGACTGGTAAGACGTTTTTGTGGCGAGCATTGTCCTCCACCTTAAGGTCTCAGAGTGAAATAGTGTTAAATGTTGCATCTAGCGGCATAGCTTCGCTTTTATTACCAGGTGGAAGAACTGCACATTCTCGGTTTGCCATACCGATATCTGTTAATGAAGATTCCACTTGCAACATAAGTCACGGCAGTCCACTTGCAGAGCTTATTGTGCAAAGCAAGTTGATAATATGGGATGAAGCTCCAATGATGCACAAATTTTGTTTTGAAGCCCTAGATCGAACTATGAGGGATTTGTTACGCTTCAAAAATCCAAGGAGTTATGAAATGACATTTGGTGGTAAAACAGTTGTTTTTTGTGGCGATTTCAGGCAGATTCTACCAGTAATTCCGAAGGGCACCAGACAGGATATTGTCAGGGCGAGCATTAGCTCCTCATATCTTTGAAAATTCTGCAAAGTATTTAGGCTAACTAAGAATCTACGACTAAGAAGTGTACAATCACAAATCTAGGGTTTAGAGATCGAGGAGTTTGCAAAATGGATAGCTAATATAGGTGACGGAACTATTGGTAATCAACGTGATGGTGAGTCAGATATTACAGTTCCAGAACATTTATTGCTGAAATGCGATGATGACCCTATTGCTACAATTATTGATAGCACCTTCCCCTCATTTTAGACTAGGGATTGGCGATCTGTCATATCTTAATGATAGTGCTATTTTGGCTCCAACATTGGATGTGATAGATAGCATTAACCAATACATGAATGATCATAATCCGGCTGAGGGTAAGACTTACTTGAGTTGTGATTCTGTTTGTAAGTCAGATTCAAATGTTGACATGTTAGCAGATTTGCACACTCCCGAATTCTTGAATGGCCTGAGATGTTCTGGAGTACCAAATCATGCTTTGACATTGAAAGTTGGGTCACCTGTTATGCTCTTGATAAATATTGATCACACACTAGGATTATGCAACGGTACAAGGTTGATTGTTACTAGGTTAGCTGATCACGTGTTGGAAGGCAAGATCATGTGTGGTACAAATGCAGGAACAAGAGTATTAATTCCTAGAATGTCACTTACACCGTCAGATCCAAGATTGCCTTTCAAATTTCAACGGAAGCAATTCCCGTTGATGATATCATATGCCATGACAATCAACAAAAGTCAAGGACAAACACTTTCTAAAGTGGGATTGCTGTTGAAAAAATATGTCTTTAACCATGGACAATTGTACGTAGCTGTTTCAAGAGTTAGTAACCCAAGGGGTTTGAAAATTTTGATTTGTGGAGAAAATGTACCATGTCTTAGTACGACTAAAAATGTTGTGTACAACGAAGTCTTCAACAATGTGTAATAACATTCCACAATTTATTATTTCAAATTTAGTAAGCTTTTAAATGGTATATTTCTTCTTCTTATTATATTATACAGAATATTCTATGTATTATATAGGTAGCCGTGCATCGCTGTGGGTTCAACAAAGAGAGTCTTCAACAATCTCTAATAAAATTTATAAATTCATCATTTCAATTTTATTAAGTTTTGAAAATGTATATTTTTTCATCTTATTATATTATATTGAATATAATATAAAGTATATATATAGCCGTGCATCTCACGGTGCAACTACTAGTAGAAAAATAAAATAACAGGAAGTATGCTGATGTAAGATTGCCAAATTGGGGACGATTTAAAAATCCTACAAACCCTAGATTTTGAATGAACCCAAAAGACTACGTAGCAGCTCATCACTTCTCTACCTCAAAGAGGAGAGAGTGGCCCGGCAAAACACCGCACGAAGAAAAAGAAAAGAAAATAAAAGAAAAAAAAAAAGATTCTGACGGGCCCTTTTTCGATCATTTCTGAGAGTGAGATTCAGAATCTGCGTAATTTCATATACATCATCATTCTCTGTTCTTGTTGTCTTGGAGAGATTGAGAATAGGATTAACAATCTTTGATTTTCTTGGTTTTGGGCGGAAAGGAAGAAGAGAGGAAGGAGGGGATGGCACAGAATGGGCAGGGAATAGAGCCTGCCGTTCTGGACGACATTATCAATCGGTTGTTGGACTTTAGGATCGCCAGGACGGCACGGCAGGTTCAGCTTTCGGAAACTGAGATCCGCTCTCTCTGTAACGCTGCGCGCGAAATTTTTCTTCATCAGCCCAATCTCCTGGAGCTCGAAGCCCCAATCAAGATCTGCGGTACACCTTTTCCCCTCTCTCTGCTTTCAAGCTTTCAATTTTGTGACAATTTGCCTGTCTGTATTTCAAAATGTGCGCCGCGCGAGGGGCTCGCAATGTGGTATTGTTGTATAGTTTGCTGTGTTCTTTGTGTTTAGACGAAATTAATGCTGCCATGCAATTTTGTTAATCTATTGTATGAAATTTGTTTTTGTGTCTCAATATTATTAGTAATTCATAAACTCAAGGGAAGGTCAAGATTTTGGAATGAGAATATGGAACTAAAGATTAAGTCTTAGATGTTGTAAATGGTACTCATATGTAGTTTAGGATTAAGAAAATGTTCGTCTTTTTTATTTATCACAGCTAGAGCTCAGTGAATTCCACCTCTCGATTTCATAGCTTTCTTAGCCTCTTGTGACTATATATAGCTCTTGGAGTGTATGTAAGGTAAATATTGTGAAATATGAAATTGTCAAAATTGGAAAATAAAGTATTCTTTTACTGGAGAAGTTTACTGCTGCCGTTCTTTTTTGTGTGTGCGGTAATAGTTATATAATTTTGTGAAACTGAATTACTTGATGCAATCAGCCATGCAGTTTCTTGGTAAGGTCGAAGTTGATTAAAAAAGTCTGTCTTTGATGGTTTATGAGAGGTCCCTGAAATGTCGACGCTTGGGTGTTAAATTGTCACTAGGTCGTGTGAATCTTTTAGACTATCTATAACTTGCACCTTTCGTCACATAATACTTGTATGTTCAGACTTTAGAGTGTGCTGGTTTTTTTCTCTATTCCTAAAGAACCGTAGTCCACAATCCTTATGCTTTTCTACTTTTCTAGAGCTTAGGTTGCCTTGAGGCTAACTGAAATATAATATTATGCTTTACCTTTCTGTTTGATCTGACTTACAGGTGACATTCATGGGCAATATGGCGATCTTCTGAGGCTCCTAGAATATGGAGGATTTCCTCCTGAGTCCAATTATTTGTTCTTAGGGGACTATGTGGACCGTGGCAAACAGAGTTTAGAAACAATATGTCTTCTGCTTGCATACAAAATCAAATACCCTGAGAACTTCTTCCTTTTAAGAGGGAACCATGAATGTGCTTCGATTAATCGGATATATGGGTTCTATGATGAATGTAAGCGCAGGTTTAATGTGAGACTATGGAAAACCTTCACTGAATGTTTCAATTGTCTTCCTGTGGCTGCTCTCATCGATGATAAAATACTTTGCATGCATGGCGGTCTTTCTCCTGATCTAACAAATTTAGATCAAATTAGGAACTTAACTCGCCCATGTGATGTTCCAGATTCTGGTTTGCTTTGTGACTTACTTTGGTCAGATCCTAGTCGAGAAAGTAAAGGGTGGGGAATGAATGATAGGGGAGTTTCATACACTTTTGGTGCCGATAAGGTAGCAGAATTCTTGATGCAGCATGACATGGACCTTGTTTGCCGTGCACACCAGGTACGCAATAAATAAATGTATTAATCTTCATCTTTTCCTTCTCGGTACTTTCACTTTTAAATAGAATACCCTTTTCTTCAGGTTGTGGAAGATGGCTATGAATTTTTTGCCGATAGGCAACTAGTAACAATATTTTCTGCTCCCAACTATTGTGGTGAATTCGATAATGCTGGCGCAATGATGAGTGTTGATGAGAGTCTAATGTGTTCCTTCCAGATTCTAAAGCCAACAGATAGGAGGACTAGGTTCTTATGAAGTACTACAAATTTTATTAGAACTGGCTAAATCACGAGCAGCTAAGGTAAAGTTGATACCTTTTCGGGATCCTTGTTTTCTTATTGTTCCAGTTTTACCTGTACTGTCGCAGTTGCACGGTTTCAGCAGCTATACTATGCGTCTTTATTTCTAGATTTGGTAGCTTTTGTAAAATCTTTTCGCCGGTAGGATACTGCCTGAGTATATATTTCATGGTGCCAGAATGAGGATTGGTTAAGCTACCTGACATTTATCTAGGCATTGTTACAGTGGCATTTGGCAGTGACAGTTGCAAGGGATATGGAAGTTCACTTTTCAAGTTCTATTGAATTTTATTTTCGAGTTTTATGGCTTATTTGTATTTTTTTTTTTTTTAATTTGAAGGTTTAATTGCATTTTCTTAAAAAAAAAAAAAAATTGATGGCTTATTTTACCCCACCCCCCTCCCCCCCCCCCCCCCCCCCTTTCTTTTAATTTTCTAAATGTTAAAATACTTAGGCCTGTTTGGTAACATAGTTAGTTTATCAGCCAACTTTGATTTATTTGACCACTATTAGCTGTTTGACTTGGTTAAACATCCAATATAAGTGTTTGTTTAATTAATTTTTTGTAACAGTTTATTGTTCCAAAATGTTAAAATCCAAAAAGCTGGTCAAAACAATTTTTTTTCGATCAGCTTTTTGAAAAAGTCATTTTACATGTAATCAACTATTAGATAACTGTTAATTTATCAAATATTTTTCTACAATCAGCTAATTATGTCAACTAGTCAAATCTATTAACTCAATCAGTTAACGGTGGGTTATTTATCAAACACTCCCTAAATCTTTGTTGGTATGACAAAGTTCAATTAGTTTAACCCAAAACATATATTAACAAGATATAAATTATACATTTCATTGACTTCTTACTCAACAGTAAATATTCTTACAAGAAACATCAATTTGATTGAGCTTATGAGGCCACTCCCATGGAATTGTGTTCTTTGTCGTTGAAGATCTTGTTAGCGTGTCTATGTCCTATCTTAGGTATTCATTGTTATTTCTTTTTGTTTGCATTAAAAAAAAAAAAAAATTTGGGTTAATTGTTAGAACCAAGCATGTGAAGCAAGAAGGCAATTTAAGAAATGATGTATTACACTTTTAAAATTTATAGAAAGATGCTATCAGATTATACAAAACCTTATGGCATGCAATTTGTAACGAAAATAATTAATTTTTCATCTCCTACCATCCCTCACTGATGTTAATAGTCAGGTGGTGAAAAAAATACGGGGTTAAAAAAATGAGGGGAGTTTAGCGTGATATACTGATATATGAAACACAATTTTAGCATAATACATAAAAATTCGCTAATTTATCAAGTCAATTATCTACAATCTACATCTACAATTTTAATAAGAGCAAATAATGTTAGGCCCTTAACTGGAACAAAAAAAATGTCGGTACTACTTGTTTCTTAAAATGAACGGCTCATAGTATTTTGATTTTAGTATTTTTAATGATTTTCCTTATTTACCCTTTATTATATTATTTTCTTTCTTTAAATAACCTTAAAATCCGTTAGTATAAACTTTATTAACGGAATATTCCGTTAACTATTTATTATTTTTAGGGAAAATGGCACTTTTTCCCCCTATGTTATATACTTATAGCACTTTTTCCCCCTCAATTATTTAAGTGGCTCTTTTTCCCCCTGAAATGTTAAATGGACATATTTACCCTTAAAATAAATATTTCATTTATTTTTATTCTCCAATAAATTATTACTATAATTTGGTTCAAACCAGATACTATGGTAACCAAACCAAAATATTCCAATTACAATTTATAATCAAAACGCGATATTTAGAGTTTATTAAAATCGCGAACTGGAATGGCCGGTTCATGTTCCAAACTGAAAAAATAAAATACATTTATTGTTGAATTTAAACTATTTTAAAATAAAAAATAAAATTTTAAAATAAAGACGGTTCAAAATCGCGAACGGGATCCGGAACCGCCGGTTCATGATCCTGTTTTTTTTTTTTTATTCTTAAATTTAATAAATTGAAATCCAAATATTGGGTTCTAAATCTGAATCATAACTGAAAACTTTTAATTCGATTGCTATAGTGTCTGGTTCAGTTCGAACCGAACCGTGGTAATCGCTACATATACGCAATAATTTGTTGGAGAAGTAAAATAAATAAAATGTTTACTTTAAGGGTAGAAATGTCAATTTAATATATTAGGGGAGAAAACCACCACATTTAAAATAATTGAGGGGGCTAATGTGCTTACATAAATAATTGAGGGGGAAAAAGTGCTATAAGTATATAACATAGGGGGAAAAAGTGCCATTTTCCCTTATTTTTAACTTACTCATTAATTCTACAATTCTAATAAGAGCTAATAATGTTAGGCCCTTAACTGGAACAAAAAAAAATGTCAGTACTACTTGTTTCTTAAAATGAATGGTTCATAGTATTTTGATTTTAGTATTTTTAATGATTTTCCTTATTTACCCTTTATTATATTATTTTCTTTCTTTATATAACCTTAAATTCCGTTAGTATAAACTTTATTAACGGAATATTCCGTTAACTATTTATTATTTTTAACTTACTCATTAATTTCTATAAGAAATGTCTTAGGTTTGAACCTCATTCCAATTAGAGTTAGCATAATTGTTAAACATATACTACGAATATGTTAAAATGTATTAAAAAATAAAATAAAAAAATTTAACATAAACTTTGGTCAAATAATTAGTCCGACTATATACATAGCATTCAATGATTATAAATCAGGAACTTTGATAATCATTTGATTTTCTTTCATTAAAAATAATGATAAATTTAAGTTCAAATTTTTTTTTTCGTTTAATTAATCTTCTTTTTATTATTGAAAACAAAACTTAATATTTCAATTATGATTTTAACAATGCATGAAAACTTCTAAAGAAATTTGTAAGTTAATTTTTACTATATTATTATAATAATATCTATTGTAATTTTATATTTTGAATTATTTATTATTATCATCTATTGACAGCAATTGTCATTGACAAATTCTCAAAACAATTTGTCTCAACAACGAATGAAAATTAAAAAAAAAAATCAATGATTTCATTATTGTGGACGAAAAGTATGTACGCCACTTTATTCAATCGTTATGCTGTGGAACTGTGTCCACCTTGCAATGTGGACACAGTTCTATGTTCATAATTACTGAACTATATGTTCATAATTATAAAGCTATATATTCATATTTTTGAACTTCATATTCATAATTATTGAACTCTATATTCACAATTACACAACTCTATGTTCATAATTACTGAACTATATGTTCATAATTATAAAGCTATATATTCATAATTTTTTAACTTCACATTCACAATTATTAAATCTCTATATTCATAATTATGTCCACAACTCTATGTTCATAATTATAGAACTATATGTTCATAATTTTTGAACTATATATTCATAATTATGAACAGTTTTGAAACAGTGTCCACCTTGCAAGGTGGACACGGTTCGACATCATAATTTTCCCACTTTATTGCTCTTATTACTTAAATTAAAAAAATAAATTAGTAGCTACAACAAAAAATAATATATATGCATTTAATTAATTTAGAATTAGATGTCTCACAACACATGAAACATGTAGGGAAAACTACCACTACCAAATATCAACATATGCTTATAAGATAAAGAGTTCACAGCACAACTAAGATCTCAGTCATATATACAATACAAATCTAAAACTTCATACACCATAATCTCATTGCATGATGAATCCCTCTAAAAAAAAAAAAAAAAAAAAAAAAAAAAAGACATGTACGGAAGATGAAAACAATAACAATGCTACCTAAAAGAGAATTAGAAAAATTTATACTAAAAGTAGTATTTATTTAGACTATCGCTTTTAGACTTAGTATTAAATTAACGTTATTACAAAGTTGCAAATATTTATTTTAGTGGCAATAAAATCAATATCTCATATATTATATTGCATTTATATACTTTAAATTACCGATTTAAATAAACAAATTCAACATTTATTTACCTATGCATGAACATCTTCTATATAATATTGCATTGATATACTTTGAAATACTTATTTAAAAATAAGTATTGGGCATTATCATATTCGCGCGCGTAGAAACACTAGTAATATAATAATTACGAAAGCCTTCCACACTAAATTCATAGGACAGTTTAAAGGTACAAAAGACAATAAATTAAGTCTCGCTATCTTCTCTTTAATAAGAGACATTTTAGAGTTGGGATGATTTCTTAAAAAGTACTTATGTTACCATATGGTATTTGCTATTACAATTATAGATAATCCAAATGAGAAAGAGGCAAAGAATAATGTAACTTGCAAGCTGTAACTTAAAATTGATCATAAATAAATTCATGTTATATTTTCTATAAATTTTTGAGATTTACTTATTTTACTTATATTTAAGAATAAAAGCAAATTTATCCTCCTGGCTATTTTTATACTAACCATAAACACAAGATAAAAGAAGCGAAAGAAAAAACTATATGACTCTAGCTCACATAACCCTAACAACATCTACCAAGTCGCAAATTTATCCTCCTCACTATTTTTACATTTAGGAGAGGAAGTGAAAATTGAATTGCAACTTTGGTAATCAAAGAAATTTGAGGGAAAGTTATAAAATTAACGGAAGGAAGGATCTTTGCCTTCTTCAATGGTGGTGGGTGATTTGGGAAAAAAAATTGAAGTTCTAAGCAAGATAAAGAAAGGAAAACGGGCTCACATCTATTAACAAAACTGAGGCTCTATGCTCACAATTTAGACCTCTTGAGGAAAAAAATTGAAGTTTAATTGTGCAAATATCATTTTTAATTTTTAAGGTATTTGAGACTATTGAGATATATATTGTAATTTACCTTCTTCAAGATAAGAGTAGTAAGAGACTTTAAGTTTGAGATTAAAACTTAATACTTTGGCATTGTAACATGCTCTTCAATTCATTCTTATTTCAATACATTCTCCTCATGAATTGAAGTGACAAATTTGTTTTAAATAACATAGGAAAAAAATTCTTTATTCTTGTATAAAAGGTGAAATAATCATACTACCAAATGTTACATTAAAAAATCTGGCCGGATCTTCTTTCTTCTGCCTTCATCCGCCAACTTTAATTCGATCCTGGGCATTATTACATCCTAACAAAACTTATATCCAAACGAAATGATGAGTAGGGAAGGAAGCTGCAACTCTCTTTTGAGTTCAAATCCTTAATGATGGTGAATGGTGATGATGAATTAGAAGCACTTCCTATGCACAATGGATGGCCCGGATTCATCGTATTCCGCCTTCGCAATCCACATCTGCATTAAGTAATAAATGTGTAGTCAAAACTATCAATGGTGGATCATTTGGAAGAATATAAGTTAGGGTAATTCAATAGCTTAATAAATATGGCAGATATGGTCAAATGTAGGTGAGCACAAGGGATCTATTTATTTTGAATATAATCCCATAATCTCATAATATAAATCACGGTAACTCAATGGCTATGGCTTAATAGATATGGTAGATATAGTCAAATATCGGTGAGAACAAGGGATCTGTCTATTTTGAACATAATCCCATAATCGCTATGTTGTCAGTGTAGAGTTTTAAACTTTGATCTCTTCCATCAAATAGTGTCTACCGAGCCAGTAAGCTAAGCTAGTTTGGGTGAAATTCTGTATCATGAAAAAGGTGTGATATAAATTTTGGAAGAATGAATTTGTTATGAAACTTGCCTGCTGGAAAGTACTCAAAGATGCTAAAATGGAGCCACCAATCCAGACACTGTACTTCCTCTCAGGCGGAGCGACGACCTTGATCTTCATGCTGCTGGGAGCCAAGGCAGTGATTTCCTTGCTCATACGGTCGGCGATGCCGGTGAACATGGTGGTGCCACCACTGAGAACGATGTTGCCGTAGAGGTCTTTCCTGATGTCAACATCGCACTTCATGATGGAGTTGTAGGTGGTCTCATGGATGCCAGCAGCTTCCATCCCGATTATGGACGGCTGGAACAGGACTTCCGGGCAGCGGAAACGCTCTGCGCCGATGGTGATCACCTGCCCGTCAGGCAACTCGTAGCTCTTCTCCACTGAAGAGCTGGTTTTGGAGGCCTCCAGTTCCTGCTCGTAGTCTAGCGCTATGTACGACAGCTTCTCCTTGACGTCCCTCACAATTTCTCGCTCTGCGGAGGTGGTGAAGGAGTATCCACGCTCAGTCAAGATCTTCATCAGATGATCGGTCAGGTCACGGCCGGCTAAATCCAAACGGAGGATCGCGTGCGGGAGAGCGTATCCTTCGTAGATCGGAACAGTGTGACTCACACCATCTCCGGAGTCCAACACAATGCCTGCAACAAAACATCATCAAGCAATAGATCGAACAGATAGAGTGCGAAACTAAAGCAACAATAGATCGAACAGATAGAGTGCGAAACTAAAGCAAGACAACATACACACCTGTTGTACGACCACTAGCATAGAGAGAAAGCACGGCTTGAATGGCAACATACATTGCAGGGGCATTGAAGGTCTCAAACATGATCTGAGTCATCTTCTCTCTGTTCGCCTTAGGGTTCAGGGGAGCCTCCGTTAGCAGAACCGGATGCTCCTCCGGCGCCACACGCAGCTCATTGTAGAAGGTGTGATGCCAGATCTTCTCCATATCATCCCAGTTGTTCACAATGCCGTGCTCAATCGGATACTTGAGAGTCAAGATACCTCTCTTGGATTGAGCTTCATCCCCCACATACGCATCCTTCTGCCCCATCCCAACCATCACTCCGGTGTGGCGTGGACGCCCAACAATGCTCGGAAACACAGCCCTCGGAGCATCATCTCCGGCGAATCCCGCCTATTATTAGTCACCGTCAAATCATATTCCATCAATTTTTAACAAAAAAATCATAAACAGTCGTATCTCATACCTTAACCATTCCAGTCCCGTTATCGCACACCAATGGCTGAATATCCTCGCCATCTGCCATCTTCAAATCTTCAATACGTCAACGGCACCCTAAGAAGTGAAGAGTAAACTTGAAAATATGGATGATTACAGCAAATATGGATGAAAATTAGTAAAAGAAAACGCCATTTCTTCCATTTCTATATACTACAAAGAGACAACATTGATGATGGGTACGTATTACGTAACCACATTTTCATCATGACAGGCCGCACTTTTCTGGCTATACAGCCCGGAGCGTCCATAGATTCACTGGGCAGCTCCTTACTTATGGGGTCTCCACATCTTGGTAACTAAATGCCACTTGTGGCAGGAGTTTTCTTCTTCTATTTTTTTTTATTTTTTTTATTTATGGATTATTGTGTATTTTCCCTATTTGGTTCATAGTTATCAATTTTTCCATTTTTTGTGAATGATTATCAAATTCTTACAATATTGGTCTTTTTGATCAATTTTTATCTAATCTTAAATAGATTATGTGAGTTATTTGAAACAATATTTTTGTTATTCACAAAATTGAATATTATGATATTGGGCTTTGAATTAATCAAAATTGACAAACTTAATTAGGGGTAACAATGCGGGTTGGTCCACCGCAGAGTGGGTTATACTTTTTTCTGGTCAGTCGATGGTGCATATATGCAATAGTTATGTTGTGCAATCGAATGTACCATGCGCATGGTGCATACGATGCAAAACGACGTCGTTTTGACTAAAAACGCGCGTCCCACTTTAAAAAAAAAAAATCAGGTTCGATTTTCGGCAATAGCATTATTGTGGATATATAGTTATGAATTTCTGGATATATAGTTATAAATTTGTGGATATATATTTATGAATTTATGGATATTTAGTTCATTCATTGTGGATATTTAGTTCATTCATTGTGGATATATAGTTATGAATTTATGGATATATAGTTATGAATTTCTGGATATATAGTTATGAATTTATGGATATTTAGTTCATTCATTGTGATTATTTAGTTCATTCATTGTGGATTTTTACTTCATTCATTCATTGTGGATTTTTACTTCATTCATTCATTCATTGTGGATTTTTACTTCATTCATTCATTGTGGATATATAGTTATGAATTTGTTGATATATAGTTATGAATTTCTGGATATATAAAAATGTTATTGCCGGGAATCGAACCTGATTTCTTCTTTAAGTGGGACGCGCAATTTTTTTAATCAAAACGGCGCCGTTTTGCAACCGTATGCACCTTGCAAGGTGCATTTGGTTGCACAGCATAATTTGCGGCATATATGTGCACATTAGGAGAGAGATCACATAATACTATCATATATAGATATCTAGTGAATATAAATAAATTTGTAATAGCATGAAAGTCACAACGTGTATGGCATAGTCAATTGAATGAGAAATTGTGCTAAACATGTTTTTTTTTTTCTATTCTTCTGTTTATTTTTTTCAGGATTTCAACTATTTACATTTATAATATTTATTGTGGAAGAGTAAAAATTTTGTTTCCTCCTAAATTTGCAATATTCGAAATAAAATTCCATCAATGAATTCAAAATTCTGAAGGATACTTTGACAATGATGGAAAAAACAATGCGAAATGCATACATTCGGTTTTGTTTGGAAGAATTTATAACTTTTATTTCGAGCTAAGCTATAATATTTGTTAGTGTGTTTTGCACAATGAAGAAAGGGAGGATGTAGTTCAATTTTTGTTTTTGTTTTTATTTATTAAAAAAATATCAAATATGTCATTGATGGGGTCATGGAATGCCAGGTGTCTATTTTATTAGAAGAGTTTTGGCCTAAATGGGTCCATTTTTATTGTAAGCGGTGAAAATTGAAGCATGAAGCAAAATATTAAAGGATGTGATGCTAAGGTGTATCAAACCCACAACCGCTCCAAGGCAACACACATCCCAACCCACTAAGCCACTATTTATCTTGTGTATTAGAGGACATATATGTTAACGAACCGAACATTAATGAACAAAGGTTATTCGTGTTTGTTTGTTAATATTTTTAGAGTGTTCGTGTTTGTTTGTTAAGCGTTTATCAGTGTTCGTTCATGTTAATGAACACGTTCATGAGCATGCTCGTTAATGTTCATGAATGCTAAATAAACAAATACATCTACATGTTTATGATCATAATCCGTTCGTGAACAATAAATAATATATGTTCACGAACCAAACAAAGAACATAACGACTATAAAAAAGTACAAATAAGTTGAAAAGTAGCATCTACTATCAAAGTGAAAATATCAAGTTCCAAAGAAAAAAAAACACACACACAAATTGTATGGTCATATTACAAGCCAAAAACATAAAAACTTAAAATATAAAATTTTTAGATTCCGCATCCGGCATCCCAATAAAATTAATAAAGTAGTATATATATATATATGCTTAAGTGCTTGATAATGAACATGTTCGTGAGCATTATTAAACGAACACTAAACGAGTTTGTGATGAACTCTGATGAGTTAGTACATGAACTCCCAAATCTTATCCACTAAAATTTACTCTCTATGTGGTGGGCTTTGATAAGTTATTTTTTTAATGTAGATTTCAATACAAGTGTCTACATCAAAATTCATGTAAGTTCCAATACAAGTGTCTACATCAAGATTTTGTGTGTGAGAGTAAAAGTTGGAAGTAGAAAATTGGAGTACACATACTATTTTTCACTAATGAAATAAAATCAACATTTTAAGTATTGAGTATTAATGTACTCCTTCTGTTCCATGTGTCGGGTTCGATTAAAACTAAAATTATTTACAATTTAATTTTTTATAATATTAAGTTTAGAATTAGTATTAAAATTTATATAGTCAAAAACTACATTAAAAACACTATTAAGCACAAAAAAAAATTAAATTTAAAAATTATAAAAAAAATATTAATAAAAATGAGCAAAAAAGAAAAAGTTGTTTTATTTAATGAATAATAAATACAACAGACAACAAAGTAGCAACAACTAGCAAGAAATGCAACCACAAATATCCTAGTGCGCAGAAGGCAAACGGCGTCGTTTTTTGCCATTCCCGCCGTCGCTCCGAGCATTTTTTTTCGTTAGTTTATGGAACTTCAGGCGATTCAGACCTATAACTTCTAACGCCGGTACGAATGTACTGTTATACTAGCGCTTCGAACATGAATTCTCCGGCCAGTCTCCGCCGTACAGTCACAATTCCCGCCCTCCAAAGCCTTAAACCCTCAAAGCGGCGGCTGTTATCAAACGTAACGCTACCGTCGCGCTTATCCAACCGGAGCTGCTCTGAGTTCTTGACTGTAAACAGTATTCTTAGACGCGAATTCTCGACTCGGAATCTCCGATTGACCGCAATTAAAGCTTCGTCGAACGATGCTCGGTCGGTTGCTGGCGGTTCGTTCAGAGACAGAGGGGGAGTGCGAGAGCCCAGCTTCGCAGAGTTCATTACTTCGGAGAGAGTGAAAGTGGTGGCTATGTTAGCCTTGGCTTTGGCTTTATGTAACGCCGACCGTGTCGTAATGTCGGTGGCGATCGTTCCTTTATCGGCCTCTCATGGCTGGCGTCAATCGTTCGCTGGCGTTGTTCAGGTACTTATCATTTTCACTTTGCCGTGTTTGTAATTGGAGCTGTCACTACTGTTATTAAAATTTGTGTGTATTAACTTAGGACCGAAATCAAATGCCTTATGTCTGATTGCCGAGGTTGATGGAGTATTAATTTTATTTGAAGTAAAACCTGAAAACAAAAATGGAGTAATGTATAATAATTGGACGAAGGTGCATTGTTTCTAGCAGTGAAGCAATGCCATGTATCCTAAAATGTTGATTTCGTAAGGGATGAAGTTCCTGTTACAGGGGAAAAAAAAACAAATCTGTTTTATGACTTTCAACATTATAACCTCTGATCTTGTTCCTAGACTCCTAGTTTGGAACTTTTGGTGCAATTCAAGATTTTCATACTTGTTCTGCATTTAATTGATACATGGATGCAGGTTGGATTTGGAAGCATGATGTTAATGTTTCTGAATCTTTCTTTAAGCTAAAATGTTAAGCCCATTGTAGCATGAGTTAGATTTGAATGCAACTAAAAAATTGATATCACATTTATTGGAAATCAATCTTCCACTGAGGTTTGGCCCTGGAGTGTCATCATCCAGTAAGAGATTACTTGATTATTGCATTCAGAATTGACAAAATCAATATCCAGAAAGTTGTTAATAGGTGTTTGGGATTTCAATTGTTTCTATCAGAACATCTATGTAGAAAAAAGCAATTTCAATAGTAAATCCAATATCTCTTGCCTATTACAGCTTGTTTTTGTTAATTATCGTTCTGATTGATGAGTAGCTACTAATGGCAGTCATCTTTTCTCTGGGGTTACCTGATATCGCCAATAGCTGGAGGGACTCTGGTGGATTATTTTGGTGGCAAGGTAGTCATGACATGGGGTGTGATTCTCTGGTCTTTAGCAACTTTTCTAACCCCTTGGGCAGTGGAGGTTTCCTTGTGGGCACTGCTTTCCACGCGGATGTTGCTTGGCATAGCAGAAGGTGTAGCTCTTCCCTGCATGAACAATATGATCGTCAGGTATTTGAGTCATACACACCATCTGATTTTGTTATGAGTAATCGTTATTGCAATTGATGACTTCATAGTGAGATTTAAATAAGTCTGCAGCTTCAAAATTTTAGTTTGAATGTTTTTCATCAGATGGTTTCCTCAGACAGAACGATCAAGGGCTGTAGGGATGGCAATGGCTGGATTTCAGCTTGGAAGTGCTATTGGGCTCACACTTTCTCCAATTCTTATGTCACAGGGTGGTTTATTTGGACCATTTGTCATATTTGGTTTATCTGGGTTTCTTTGGGTTCTAGTGTGGGTGTCTGCAACCTCCAGTACTCCTGAGCGGAGCCGTCAAATATCATTAAATGAACTGCGTTACATACAAAACAAGGGACTTAGCCATTCTGCTGTTGACAGTAAAATGAAAACAGCCAAAGTGATCCCACCTTTCAGACGCTTGCTCTCTAAGCTACCAACATGGTCTCTAATTGTGGCAAATTCCATGCATAGTTGGGTAATACATAATTTTTCTTGTATGTTACAAGTAATGCTCTTAAAGATAGGTTTTGTGTGTCTTTTGATAACTTAGTGCATTTAGCATTTAGTTTTGCTGATATTCAGTGCTTGTTTAAAATCCATGTAAGTGATATTGTTTGTAAATATCAAATCATTGCATATAGTGGAGAAGAATTCATTAATTCCTTTATTAAATGCAGGGCTTCTTTGTAATACTATCATGGATGCCAATTTACTTCAAGACTGTAAGAGAAAAAACTGGTCATTTTATTTCATGAATCCATTTTTGAATAACTGAACATAATCATTGGAACTATTTTTTGAGATACCCTTCTCTTGTAGATATACCGTGTTGATCTCAGACATGCAGCATGGTTTAGTGCTGTTCCATGGAGTATGATGGCATTAATGGGCTACGTTGCTGGTGTTTTGTCTGACCGGATGATCGAAAGCGGTACAAGTGTTACACTAACCCGCAAAGTCATGCAAGTATGATCTTCTATCATTTGTTTCTTTTCAATTAGACACTCCCTTCAGTACCTAATAGGCCTTGCCATTTCAGTGTCTGGTTATCTTCTAACATATATTTTCTTTGCTCTCCTTTTGTAGTCAATTGGTTTCTTTGGACCTGGGATTGCTCTCATTGGTTTAACTATGGCTCGAACTCCATTGATAGCATCAGCTTGGCTTACTTTAGCTGTTGGGTTGAAAGCATTCAGTCACGCTGGCTTCCTTGTAAACCTTCAGGTTAGAAGATTGATTAAAGTTTTATGATCTAATGAGCAGAATCACACACTTATATCTGTTCTTTCATCTTTTCCCTTGACCAGGAAATTGCCCCACAGTATTCAGGTGTTCTGCATGGTATGTATTTTCTCCTTTTTCGTTGTGTTACCATTACAGAGCTATTGATTGCTGAAACAAAGTTCTTTATCTCCTTATCTTGCTGATTCCTATGTTATATAGGCATTTCAAACACTGCGGGTACACTTGCAGCCATCATTGGAACTGTTGGTGCTGGCTTCTTCGTCGACTTAGTTGGTTCCTTCCAGGGATTTTTGTTGCTTACAGCATTTCTGTATTTCTGTGCTGCTCTCTTCTATAACATCTTTTCTACAGGAGAGAGGGTTAGCTTCGATGAAACTACTTAGGTCCCCCTCAAAGGTTGTCAAATACTTCAGTCGTAGAGTAAAATGGGGCTGTAGACATTAGGAGCATTTTTCACCATGGGAAAGCTGTGCTGGTAAATATCAACTTTTTCCATGAAATGTTGACATCAAACTGTGTAAATTTGTGAATCCTTGTTGCTCTCATACTATAAGAAGTTGTTCACTTGTTCCTAGTACTACTATCTCCTTGCACTCCAACTCAGATATCGGGTTATCTTCAAGGCTTGATTTGTGCTGTGTTGAGTTTAGCCAATCCTTATGTTTGTTTCAGCATGAACACATTCTCTATGTTTACACAGCTTGTAATAAACCAAAACATGTACATAATGCTCGTATATAGGGGCATGTGCTGTTAGGCAGTTGGTTGGTCTTTTAGAAATCTTGCATGATTTCTAGTTCTAGTATAAAGCTTCAGTTAACATTTTCCAGTGTTGCAAAAAAATCGGGCCTAGGGATCGGCGCTTAAGCGCTAGGCAGTCGGCCACCTAGGCGCCGATTAATCGTTCTAGGCGCCTTAGGTGGTCCACAGGCGCCTAGAGGGTGCCTAGCGATTTTTTCGACCTTGGCATTTTCCAATATCACACGTTCATTCATGTGATAACTCTTATCTTGTTTTTCTGGTAAATTGATGACACGAACCTAATCACCCAAAAGTTTTTTTTTTTCTTCCTCTTTTAGCTCTGTCTTTTAACTTTCATAGAATATAGTTTCAGGTCTCCAATTTTATATTATCAAAATATAATTTGCATATAACCTCAAAATTTATGTGATATCGAAATTATACAATGTAATACGTTTGCCACCTATGGGTAAAACTTACTTTCAGTTGTAAGGTAGGGGTTAATTTCTGTTACAAATAATGAAAATTTTAGTTTGAATTAAGTTTTTTTATGTATAGAAGTGTATTGTTTGGTATTGAGTCTCGTTTAATTGATTAAATTTATTTCTTATAGACATGTGAACAGATGCATGAAGTTTAAAATATAGTTTGATAGAAATAAAAAAATTTGAGTTGTAACAAATAAAAGGTTGGAAGAAGTGAAGAAGAATGAAGAATGCCACGAAAGCGTGAAGCACTTGGACGGTTGAATCCCCCAAGGTCATATCAAAGCTTCCCTTGGCGACACCTCTTCATTTATTAGTCACACATGTCAACATTTCGATATAAAATATCACAATTCTCAACCGTCAATCTCCCAATAAAAAGACAAACGAGAAAAAAAAATCATAATTTGAAAATATTAAAATTTTACTGTATTTTATTTGTAATCGCTCCACGATACCATTAATGAAACTTCTTTATTCAGTTAATTAAAAATTGATATGTTTCACTTTTTAATAGTTAACCTTCGAGTCTTTGACTAATATTTAGAAAAATATATATAAAATTTCTAGTTTTTGAAATTAATACGGAGTAATACTTAAACTTAAAACTTTCCTTTTTGGAAATATACTTGTGTATATTACAACTTAAATAGAAGTTCATATAAATTGACAATAAATAAATAAATAAATAAAGAATTCTCTACACGTACTCTCTCTTCCTCACTCCACAATCCACTGTCTAGCCTTTCTCGTGCTCCATCCCGTCCTCCCATGTGATGATGTATGGGTAAAAGGGTCTGAAATGAAATCTTAGCGGTTGGGAGAAGAAAATTACGCCTCTTTCGTCGTCTTCTCATCTGACTTCTGATATTTATCGTCTCCTCTCGCCGTTACACTCCTCCATCAATCATCTTTCCCACTTTTTTCTTTATTGTCACTTTTCTCTTCAATATCTTGGGATTCTTGCGTTTGCACGGAGCATATTCCTCCACACCCATCGCTCCCTTTCTTTCTAATTACCCTTTTTGGACCTTTTCTCTAAATATCTTTTCCCTTTGCTTTCTCTCTTCCATCCTATTAAGCTCTCAATTTCATTAAAAAAAAAAAAAAAAAAAAAAAGCTTCAGTCTTGATGATCATAGATGCTTGAAGAGATTCTCAATCAAATTCGGTAAATTTCTCATCTTTGCTAGATACCCATTGTTATTTTTACCAGTTTCTTATTTTTATTTTTTATTTTCCAGTGCCATCATGTTTTTATTTATTTATTTTGTATTATTTGTTACTATTGGTGGTTAAGAGTGTGCGTTTTTATAATTTCCTTCATGTAGATGGAATTGACAGAATTATGTTTAATTTTCCTGTTTATATGTAATTTTAGTGGATTTGCAGCTTCTTGTCATGTTTAAGATTGAATTTGAATATTGGGAGTTTTGTAATGCAACTGTTTTTGAATGACAATATATGCATTGCCATCTTTTTTTCTCTTTTGTTATAAAATTTCTTTTAATTGATTTTTCCTGTTTATATGTAATTTTAGTGGATTTGCAGCTTCTTGTCATGTTTAAGATTGAATTTGAATATTGGGAGTTTTGTAATGCAACTGTTTTTGAATGACAATATATGCATTGCCATCTTTTTTCTCTTTTGTTATAAAATTTCTTTTAATTGATTGATGAGTGTACACTTGGTTACATGTAGGTTGTAAAAGCACTCATAATTCATAAACATGGACGCTACTGCAAAGACCAATGGTGCAACTAAATTTGATGCCTTAGCCAAGGTGCCGCCCATAGCTCATCCACTGGCAGAAGAGCCCTCAGAGATTGCATCCAATATCAGTTACCATGTTCAGTACAGTCCTCATTTTTCCCTTTTCAAGTTTGATCCGGAGCAAGCATACTATGCAACTGCTGATAGTGTTCGTGACCGCTTGATCAAAGTACGATTGCTTATCTTTTTTGGGATTTATGCCATTAATTGTTTGTTTCATGGAATGTGCATCTTCTTTTGTTGTTGTAATTGTTTTGGCATTGCTTCATTATAAAATCGGCAGTGCTCATACAAATGTTAGAAAGTGATTTTAGTGTATGGTTTATCAGAAATAGTAATAGATGTATGTAACAGCCAATACTTTTGAGTTTTGACCTCTCACGAAAAAAATTACGATGTTCTTGTGCTAAATATGATGGTATCTGTTCTAAGTGTTTCTACGGTGTGTTCATTTTCACCTGCAGCAATGGAATGATACGTATCTCCAATATCACAAAGTCAACCCAAAGCAAACCTACTACTTGTCCATGGAGTATCTCCAAGGAAGAGCTTTGACAAATGCAATTGGAAACCTATGCATTCAAGGTGCATATGCCGATGCTTTAAAGAAGCTTGGCCATGACCTTGAGGAGATTGTTGAGCAGGAGAAGGATGCAGCACTAGGAAATGGTGGCTTGGGAAGGCTTGCTTCTTGCTTTCTTGATTCCATGGCAACTTTAAACTTGCCTGCCTGGGGTTATGGATTAAGGTACAAACACGGACTGTTCAAGCAACGTATCACCAAAGCAGGACAAGAGGAGATTGCTGAAGATTGGCTGGAGGTTTGATATCAACTATGTTCTGTCTGTTGAATACCATGTTGGCTCTCATGTAGTCGATTTTTGGGTATTTTATATTGTTGATTTTTGTGGGTTCATACAGAAATTCAGTCCCTGGGAAGTTGCAAGGCATGACATTGTCTTCCCCATCAGATTTTTTGGTCACGTTGAGGTTGATCCTAGTGGCTCGTAAGTGCTCTCTCACACTGAGTCTTGTGATACTGATATTTTAATATATTCATGCTATTTTTTTAAAACCTTAATTAATCAAGGTTCGAGTCGTTCCTTCTGCTGCTTACTTATTGAAACTTTGTATAGCCGAAAATGGGTTGGTGGTGAGGTCATACAGGCTGTTGCATATGATGTTCCTATTCCTGGGTATAAAACAAAGAATACTATTAGTCTTCGACTATGGGAAGCCAAAGCCAGTGCAGAGGACTTAAACTTATCTCAATTTAATGATGGGCAGTATGAATCTGCTACACTGCTTCATTCTCGGGCTCATCAGGTTAGTTATTACCTTACAGGATTACACTTGTTAAAACATTATTATACATAAAATAATGACATACTTAGTTACTGGCTTTCTTCTAACGCATTGCATTATTATGTTCAAGATGACAAGATAGATCAATTTTCAAGTAAGATATGGTCTCTTCCCCTGCTCCAAATTACGCATGACTTCTAACATTTCACACCCTTATGCAGATTTGTGCTGTCCTTTACCCTGGGGATGCAACGGAAAGTGGAAAACTTTTACGACTTAAACAACAATTTTTGCTGTGTAGTGCATCTCTTCAGGTTGACTAATTCCTCTATCATTTATTGCCATGTAATTTTGCTATGTGTTGTGTTGCTTCGGGTTGACTAATTCCTATCTACTTCATTGCCATATTTTTTCTCCTTTACAATGTTTGTCATGCATTCATTCTCTTTCTGATGCTACATCAAGAAACCCATCTCCACCAAGCCAAATAGGTTCTTGTTGAACTGTTTTTTCGTGTTCAATTTTGCCTTTAACTGTACCATTCAAAAGAACCCCTATCTTCAGCTTTCCTTCCTTACTATGACACTGCTGTGCTTATTGCTTGTGGCAGATTTAAGCAGCATCTTATGTTACTTGTCATGGCCGTTCTATATTTGAGTTCGAAAGACCTCTTTTGCAAAGCAATATAGTACTCTGGTAGATGTATAATATTTTTTTTTTTGGTCAGGCCATGATGTGTCCTGAGCAGGACCTAACTGTAGGAGGCACCTTTAAGCCCGTACCATACTCAGACTAATCCCCATTCGCACTGGCCCGACCCAATTAAGGGCAAAGTGCTGACCAGATTGGTTTTTCCATACGAGAGGGGGTTCGAACTCCCGACCTCTCTTAAGGGATGAGAGTGCACGGCCACTCACGCCAACCAAGCTGGTTAGATGTATAACTTTAATTGAATGCTTGGTACCTTCTAGCGGGAATTTGCATTTATCTGCATGCACTTTATATTTAATGGTTGCAGAACACGTATTTAGAATTCTGGCTTCTTCCACTCTTCCAGTAACTATTTAACACAAACTAGTTGGCTCATCGTTATCGAAATTCAATTTTGGGGTCAACACCAGGACATCATATTCAGATTTAAGGAGAGGAATGATGGGAAGGGCACTCTTGATTGGTCCGCATTTCCCACAAAAGTTGCAGTACAACTGAATGACACACATCCGACACTCTCAATTCCAGAGCTGATGCGGTTATTGATGGATAATGAAGGACTTGGATGGGATGAAGCATGGGATATAACCACTAGGTTCTTTTCGTTCTCTCTAGATTTCTGTGTTTTTTAATACGGATTCTTTTTGGGTGTATTAAGTTTACAATGTTGATAAATATATATAATTATATATATATTATTTATTCAGGACAATCGCTTATACAAATCATACTGTCCTACCTGAAGCACTAGAAAAATGGTCACAAGCAGTCATGTGGAAACTTCTTCCACGGCATATGGAAATCATTGAGGAAATCGATAAGCGGGTATCTTATTTACCCACTTCTTTCAATCAATATTCATAAGATGAGTTACTTGAGCTAAGTTAATCTCATTCTGTCCTTGCAGTTTATTGCGATGATAAAATCAAAAATACCTAATCTTGAGAGTAAGCTCTCTGCCATGTGCATTTTGGATCACAATCCCCAGAAGCCTGTTGTGCGTATGGCTAATTTATGTGTCATCTCTTCACATACGGTATGAGATTTTTTTCAGCTGTATTAAATTTTCTACAAATTTGATACATCTAACTCATTCCAAATACAAGTTCTAATTTCGATGCAGTAAATCAGAAATTTGCTGCATAGAAATTAGAACCTCTAGAGTCCAGAGTTTGTTAGAATAAGAAAAACCATCTGCTTAAGCTAATTTCAGTGGACTATAAAGTCTTTTCGAAACTTATGCGTTCAACCCTAAAATTTTCTCCTTTTCTTTGTGGTTACTGCAGGTGAATGGTGTTGCCCAGCTACACAGTGATATCTTGAAGGATGAATTATTCATCGACTATGTCTCTATCTGGCCCACCAAATTCCAGAACAAAACCAACGGCATAACACCACGGCGATGGCTTAAGTTTTGCAATCCCGAGCTCAGTGATATAATCACCAAGTGGTTAAAAACTGATGAATGGGTGACTAATCTTGATTTACTTGCTAATCTGCGGCAGGTATGCCATGATTCATGAAATTTCAAAGCTCGTTAACTTTATTCTTTTGATGGAGCTCTTTCTTTAATGGCCATGAATTGACATTAACTTTCCTTTAAAAAGTTTGCTGACAATGAAGAACTCCATGCTCAATGGGAGTCTGCCAAGATGGCAAGCAAGCGGCGATTGGCACAGTACATACTGCGAGTAGCCGGTGTGCGTGTTGACCCGAATACACTATTTGACATACAAGTCAAGCGCATCCATGAATACAAAAGGCAGCTGCTAAATGTATTGGGTGTAGTCTACCGGTACAAGAAACTGAAGGTGTGTGGAAGTTTTTAGTTTCCACAATTTAATTGTTTGTGTTAATATATTCAATCCTAGGTCTACGAAGAGATTTGGTGAGAACATCAGCAAGTTGATCATTTGACCCAACAAATGTGGTAACAATATCTCCGGAGACAACCTTCTCTCGTATAAAGTGGCAATCAACCTCAATATGTTTGGTCCTTTCATGGTTGACATGATTGGATGCAATATGTAGAGCTGCTTGATTGTCACAAACTAATTTCATAGGACCGAGCTTACAGAAATTGAGTTTTGTGAGAAGTTGCTTAACCCAAATTAGTTCACAAATTCCTAGTGCCATTGCTCGGTATTCTGCTTCTGCGCTGATTGGTGCAATCACATCTTGCTTCTTGCTTTTCCAAGAAACTAGATTACCTCCAAATAGAACGCAATATCCTGATGTTGATCTTCTATCCCAAGGACATCCAGCCCAATCTGCATCTGTGTAACCAACAATTTCTGTATTTTCATGATCTTTATAGAGTAATCCTGTACCTGGAGATCCTTTCACATATCTTAAAATTCTGATAGCTGCCTCCCAATGACTTTGGCATGGCTCTTGTAGAAACTGACTAACAATGCTTACAACAAAGGAAATATGTGGACGGGTGATAGTCAAGTATAATAGCTTGCCAACTAATCTTCAGTACGTACTTGGATTAGATAGAGGGTCCTGGAAGAAGTTTGACATTCGGGTCCATGGGTGTGTCAACTGGCTTGCTATCTGTCATACCCGTTTCCTCAAGAATATCCAAAGAATATTTCCGTTGTGACATATAGATACCTTGTTTGGATTGAGCAACTTCAATACCAAGGAAATACTTCAACTTTCCAAGATCCTTTGTCTCAAAATATTGAAACAAATGTCTCTTAAGTTTATTTATTTCCTCCATATCATCCCCTGTGATAACAATGTCATCAACATAAACTACCAAATATATGCTTTTTCCAAGTAAAACTGTGCACTGCTTATTTGTTGTGTGGTAACAGGAGATGAAACCCGAAGAGCGTAAGAATACAACAGCGCGCACTGTCATGCTCGGGGGAAAAGCATTTGCGACCTATACAAATGCAAAAAGGATCATCAAGCTTGTGACGGATGTTGGGGATGTTGTCAACAGTGATCCTGAGGTCAATAGCTATTTGAAGGTAAGCACTTTTTACGGTTCATATCCTCCTCCCTCCCTAAGAACATAAGACGACATATGTATGCCGTTTAATGAAAAAAAAAATCAGTTATGCAATTCTTTTCAGCATCGATCCAATACTATTGACTCTGCCAAATACCAGTATGCATGCTTATTTAAGAAAGTTGTTTTATGTAATGCATTCTTTTACGTTTCACTTCCATGCAGTTTGCTTAATATTATTTTCTTGTTTTTGACAATATGATCTAATAACCAAAAATTTTCAGGTAGTCTTTGTACCCAATTACAACGTATCTGTGGCAGAAATACTTATTCCAGGAAGTGAGCTTTCACAGCATATCAGCACGGCTGGCATGGAGGCAAGTGGCACTAGCAATATGAAATTTGCACTCAACGGATGCCTAATTATAGGAACACTGGATGGGGCTAATGTGGAAATCAGAGAGGAAATCGGGGAACAGAACTTTTTCCTTTTTGGTGCAAAAGCTGATGAAGTCCCTCGTCTGCGCAAAGAAAGAGAGAACGGTCAGGTATTGATCTTCAAACTTTTAGAATCCACCGGAAGTTTCTTCGTTCATTAGTAGTAACCTTAATGTTTAACCAAATACAATAATACGATACGATAGAGTGACCAAGTATCCCCTTTTTATACTTCTTCCCGATAATGCAGTTTAAACCTGATCCTCGGTTTGAAGAAGCCAAGCAATTCATCAGATCGGGAGCCTTTGGGAGCTATGATTATAATCCACTGCTCGACTCACTCGAAGGAGACTCAGGCTATGGCCGCGGTGACTACTTCCTTGTTGGTCATGACTTCCCAAGCTACATTGACGCCCAGGCAAAGGTTGATGAAGCTTACAAGTAAGTCCTTACACGTTTAATCAAACTGTGAACAACCCCCTCCCCCCCAACCCCAAATGAAAGAACTTCTAACGATTATAAAACATGGTAAACTGTGGTGTGATAACGAGAGTTGGAATGGCGTGTTTTCAGGGACAGGAAAAGATGGATAAAGATGTCCATACTAAGCACTGCTGGAAGTGGAAAGTTTAGCAGTGACCGAACGATATCTCAGTATGCAAAGGAAATATGGAATATTGAGGCGTGCTCTGTGGCATGATCATGGCGGCCAAACCTCCCAATTCTCTCCATGCATAGATACATTTCAGCTGCCTACAAAGAGCAAACAAAAATGGCAGCAATGGCTCTTCTCTTCTGTGTTTCTGCAGTTCTTTATTTCTCTGAATTATCGGAATATGCTTAGTATACTGCCCTGTATTGTATAGCGGAAAAAAGTACCATACTTTCCTTGAAGTGGCATCATTATTACCATTCGCATTTTTTTTTTTTTTTGATACATTAGGTTTCTGAGTTTATGCTAGATTAATAAGTCTCCCGAATCTCTGCCCAAGGGCATTGGATGCGGTAAATTGAGAGTGGTTCAATTAGTCTTCAGTTTTCACTCTTGTCCGTACACTCTGTGCATAAGGAGTTATCATTTCTGAGTAATTTTTTGGATTTTGAGTTTCCCAGTGACCCTCTATATTTTCAGTAGGAATTGAATCTCCATTGAGTCACATGCTTATTTAATTAGCCGCAAATTATGCCATGGAATTGTGTTCACCGAGAATGGTGAACACAAGGCAAAACGACGTTGTTTTTAGGCAAAAAAAAAAAAAAATCGTGGATGTGGAGTTAACGGCGCGAGTTTGATCAAATTATGAATTTTCTGTTATGAGATTATGAATTTTATGAAAATTCATAATCTCATAACAGAAAATTGATAATCGCATAACAGAAAATTCATAATCTCACAACTGAAAATTCATAATCTCATAACAGAAAATTCATAATCTTATAACAGAAAATACACATGGTTCCAAAGTGAATGTGCAGGCATGGTTTCATAATTTATGAATGTCCGTGATTTCGGACGGGAATATGTAGACATGGTTCCAAAGTGAATGTGCAGGCATGAATTCATAATTTATGAATGTCCGAAATTATGAATGTAATGAAAATTCATAATCTCATAACAGAAAATTCATAATCGCATAACAGAAAATTCATAATCTCATAACTGAAAATTCATAATCTCATAACAGAAAATTCATAATCTTATAACAGAAAATTCATAATCTCATGGTTCCAAAGTGAATGTGTAGGCATGGTTCCAAAGTGAATGTGCAGGCATGGATTCATAATTTATGAATGTCCGTGATTTCGGACGGGAATGTGTAGGCGTGGTTCCAAAGTGAATGTGCAGACATGAATTCATAATTTATGAATGTCCGAAATCTTTGTTCACCTCAAATTAGAGTGAAATCGCAAAATGTGAAAATAAAGAAGAAAAGTCACGCAACTAATTTAAAAAAAAAAAAAAAAAAAAAGATAACGGTGTACTAACACCGTTGGAACCGTGTTCACCATGAATGGTGAACACGGTTCCATGGCATAACGTCTCTTAATTAGCTTGTTGGGTTGGATAAAGATCATAACGTGAGATCGGTTTAAATATTTGTTAAACTTAAAGTTGGTCTTTGTAATGAAGGAAACACGCAATCACTATTTGAGAGTATACAATTGGTAATTTCACTTTGTGACTCTAGTCTATAAGATTCTAAAATATTACTCCATTTGTTCTGTCGTATTTGTCCTACTTACTATTCATTAGTCAAATTAATTATTTTTTCTTTGTTTATTTTCTTTTTTTTTAGTGTTTTAATTTTGATTTTTTTTTTGTTTAATAGTATTTTTAGTGTAGTTTTTTAATATATAAATTTTGTATACTAATATTAAACTTAATATTATGAAAAATTGAATTAAAATAACTCCAGTCAAGCATCGTTAATTGAATCAGACACATAAAATGGAACGGAGGTAGTACAAAAAAGGTAAACTAATTTACGTTACTCATAGCTAATTGATTTAACCAAGTAAGTCAATAAGTCGCTTTCATTGAGAATCAAATTTATAATCTTTGTATCGGATTGCTCTCCTATGTGGGAGGTCTATGTTTCGAGCCTCAGCGTAGGCGTAGATTGTATGGGTATCCCCCTTCCTTTGTAATTAAAAAAAAAATTATAATCTTTGTGATTATCACATTAACAATCTAATTACTCTCTGACCCATTTTGCATGTATGTTTACTATTTATGGGTCAAAACAACTATTTTTCATTATTTTTATAAAGTTATTTTTAATTTAATTTTTTGTATTTAATAGCACTTTTAATATAGTTTATAAATATATAATTTTATATACTAATGTTAAATTTAATATTATAAAATTTTAATTAAAAATAACTTTAATGAAGTCTCGTTAATCCGAATTAGACAAATAAAATGAGATAGAGGGAGTGACTAACATGACATGATTAGAATTGTCATCAAATCAAATCATATTTACCTCATAATTGATGTATATGTACTCTACGGGCATCTCCAACCCAATTCACACTAAAACACCAAATTTCTTCTCCAAATGTCACATCAGAAAGAATATTCTCACATCAAATTTTATTCAATCTCCAACCCATTAACACCAAAACACTAAATTTCTACACTAAAATAATTTGATTTCTCAATTATTACTTCGAATTTAATTAGTTTAATATAACTTAGTTCGAACTTAATTAGTTTAATATAAAATATAACTTGTGATGTAAATAATAATTTTTATTAACATTAATTTTTTATAACATTAATTATTTAAAAAAATTGAATTTATTGAAAATTGAATTTATTTCACAATAATAATATAGTATAAAATTTAATTTTTATTATTATGTTCTAGTTATGTTTAATGTATTTAAAATTTTAATTAATATATATTCAATATTAGTCTTGTTTCGATCGTCTCAATGAGATCTTTCAAATGATATAATTTATATTTAATAATACAAACTTTAAATATAAGTATTTAACAAAACAAAAAATTACATATAAAACAATTAAAGGATATATTTGGAATTATCAAAAAAACAAGGGCAAAATGGTAAGTTTCCCTCCTTTTTATATTTGGCGCAGATGAACAGTGTCGCGCCATATATGGCGCAGCACTGTTCATTATCGCCAAAAAAAAAATGACGAGATGGCGTAATGGCGCTGCACATTGGAGAACAAAAATTTGGCAAAATGGTGGGATGGCGCTTAAATTTGCAGCCGTTGGAGTTGCTCTACATCTACAGATACATCAACTACGAACCATCAAATGTCACATTATTAAAATGTATAAATATATTGACTCTTTATTTCTTTTTAAATAGAAATAACTGCTGGAACAAAAAAAAAATAATAATAATAACTGTCACACCGTTTTCATCCGTCTTCCGACGATTGGTGTTTTCGCCGTTCCTATGATTGGTGACAAATCGCACAGCTTTTCAGAATTCTGTCTACACAATATTCACATGAAATATAATAATATAAAATAAAAACTAAAAAAAAAATGAAATATTTTAAAATCAAGAAAAGTGAAAGCAAAAACAGAATTATGAGGAATTACAACTTCAGTTAAATTTTATCAATTATATTTATTATTTATTATGGTGTTTTTTTTTTTGTTTTTTTTTTTGAAAAGTGATTTTTTTTTTGTTCATTAGTACTTTTAAATTTTTTTTTTATTTTTGAAATAAAACCCATTCATTGAAATCAAAACAAGCTCAAAATACAAGATGGCGGGATAGTCTCTCACACAGTAAGGACAGAAGAAAAACAGGTTGCCCGTGCCAACACATGAGCCACCTGATTCGCTGACCTTTTGACATGGCGAACCAACACGTTCCCTATGTCATTAGCAATGTTTCTACATTGCTTAATCACCAAACCAACATATGACAAGTCCTGATTAACCGAATTAAAACTAGTACATAAATTCAAACAATCAGACTCAATAAAATATAAAGACTCCAGGCAACTCTTAAGCCAGGATAGAACTTCCTTACAAGCTAGGGTCTCGACAATTAGTACTTTTAATTTAGTTTTTAAGTATATAAAATTTATATACTAATACTAAATTTAATATTAAGTCTTTTTGTAAAATCAATTAACTATAGTTCAATTGTTTTGTATTATATGAATTGCATCTATATTTGATTTTGTTTGAGCCAATATTTATATGCAATGTTTGATTTAACTTTTTATTTTTTTTTAATATTTTGCAATGACATGATAAATAAAATTTGGTGTTTATTATTATGTGGTAACTCGTGAAAATTGTAATTCAACTACTAATGTAGTTTATCAATTTCTTTAAAAATTGTAATTTTAAATACTTTGTATTCAACTTTTAATATAGTTTATTATTTTTAGTAATTATTCACCTTAAATATTAATTTATATTCTAATTGCAAATATTTATGTTTATAAATTTATCATATCAAATCAACATAATTATTAAATAACAAAAAATTATAAATGAATAAACCTCATATTTACTTATTATATATGAAATTTAATAACGTTAACAATTTTTGATAACATAGGATAATTTTAATTTTAAAATATTTAGTCCGTGCATTACACGGGTGACATACTAATTATGAGAAATTGCAACTTCAGTTCAGTTTTATAAATTATATTTATTATTTATTAGTCAATTGATTTTTTGGCCTTTTTTAAAAAAAATTCAAATTTGATTTTTTTTGTTTAATTTTATTTTAGTTTTTAAGTATATAAAATTTATATACTAATACGAAATTTAATATTATAAAAATAAAATTGTATATAAATTTATGGTCTATTTAGAAACCTGAAAAATATTTTCCGAAAAAATGACTCATTTTTTAACAAATATTTTAACTTTCTAGTGTTTGAGTGAAAGGTTAGAAAATTATATTTTTCTTTTTGGTTGAAAGTTAAGATATTGCATTTTTTCTTTTTGATTCATTTTCTTGAAGATGAATAATAATAATGATGATGATGATGATGATGATGATGATGATGATGATGATGATGATGATGATGATGATGATGATGATGATGATGATGATGATGATGATTGATGATGATGATGATGATGATGATGATGATGATGATGATGATGATGATGATGATGATGATGATGATGATGATGATGATGATGATGATGATATGATGATGATGATGATGATGATGATGATGATGATGATGATGATGATGATGATGATGATGATGATTGATGATGATGATGATGATGATGATGATGATGATGATGATGATGATGATGATGATATGATGATGATGATGATGATGATGATGATGATGATGATGATGATGATGATGATGATGATGATGATGATGATGATGATGATGATGATGATGATGATGATGATGATGATGATGATGATGATGATGATGATGATGATGATGATGATGATGATGATGATGATGAT